TAGAAGGAGGAACCAAGTTAGAACTTTCTTTCAGACCTGGTAGGATTTAATGAGCATACCTGAAAAAATGCACTACCTCTAGTTCTTCGTGATTTCTTTGACTGGTCTTGTGCTAAACACTATGAAAATGGGCAACAGGTATAATTAAAAATACATAGCTATAGACAACTTTTTTACACTTTTAAATTATTTTTCAAGAGTCAGCTAGACTAGACTAATATCTGCTGTCATGCTTACCTACCTTCCTCTTAGGGTGTATGTGAATTAAAATGGAGGGATAAACAGCAAAACTGTACAAGGTTCATAAAGTTATGGCAAAGGGTAAATGCAACATGGGGAGGCTTTTTAAAAGGAAATCCTAGGCCACCACATCTCAGCACCAAAATAAAAAAAAATATCCTCTCTTAGTGCTTAAAAGTTACTGAAAGTCATTGAAACCTCATTGCTCATTGAAGAGTCTTGTACTTACCTGCACTCTGAGCTGCTGTCAGTGTGGAGCGTCATCTGAGAAAACCAGATTGGTTCAGCAAGTGCTGCCTCTCGTCGTTGTTGTGGTCTTGGTCTGTCCTGTGCTAAAGTCATAGACCTCTAAGAGCAGGGGATTCCCCATTCTGGGATTACAGAAGCAACTTGCAGGATCATATCTGTTGCATTACTGCCAGTGGAAGACTATTAGACAATATTCTTTTTTGTGTTTACTAGCACTATAAATTGCAGAGGAGCGTATTCTTTGGCAGATGACACACCAAAGATAACAAATGTTTTTCTTTGCTTCTTTTTGGAAAGTGAGAAATAATACTGATCTTAAAACATTTGAAGTGCATTAGTATTTGTCCTTTGGTAGCATCTCATGAACTTAGTCAGAGAGACTAAGCTATAGAGAGACCAGTGCTATAAGGCAGTCGCTAGCATAGACCTTGTTCCCAGAGACAGGCCAGAACCCAAATCTGGAACAGTGCAGTCCTTTGCTTGTCAGCTCTTTTATTGCTTCTGTAAGCCTTTGTTAGCTTCCAGGCAGGTGCAACTTCAGTTCCTGTAGTGCATCAGCTGTAGAAACAACAGACCAAAGTATAGGGAGGATCCTTTTGTGTAGGATATTGTATAGTGTGCTGGTTAAAAATTTCAATACACCTGTTGTCCGTTATGATCTCGCCAAATCCCAGTGGAAAACTGCTTGCTTGCAGAGAGGAAGACTGTTCACATCCAGTGCAAAACCCCTGGAGGTAGAAGCAACGAGGGAGGAAGGAGAGAATGTTTGACCTTGGCTTTGAAAGTGGATATCTAAATTGTCACACTGCTGCTGCTCAGAAGCCTCTTTCAGTTTCTTGTCATAGCTGCTTTACCCTTCCCTTCTCAAGTTCACTGAAATGAACGGTGGTGTTGTCTCACGCTGGCACTGCTTTTTATCCTGGTAAATGTCATTGAAATGGCATAGACATTCACCTCAAACCAGCATGTGATCAGAGTGAGAAAAGAGAATGTCAAGGTTTATGTAAGAATCTAGGTGCTAGTCTGCTTTCCATAGATGTGACACTGTCCCGTGTGGGCTGTCTTACACTTGGCCTACCTGTTAAGAGGAACTTTAACAAGATGCCAGGCGGGAAAATGACAGTTTTATGGATCATATTGTACAGTACTGAAGGAAAGAAGGGTGAAACTATGATTTCAGAGTCTTTAGAACCCATTTGAACAGTGAATTTGTCATTTGCAGAGTGGCTTGCTAACCTACTCATAGCTTTGGCTTTTAATTTATTTGAAGTGTGTTATGTCACTAGGAGGACTGTCACCTCTCTTATCTTCCTACCTGCTGAATGTGCTAAGAGACATTAAAGTGGTGTGTAGGGTCCTTTGCGTTTAGTTGGTGTAGCAATGAGAACACCCTTATGATACCCAAGCGAACAACAGAAAACAGAACTATTTATTGGTTCTGAAGAGAATGTAATTGAGTAAATATTTTGAATTTGCATGAAGGATTTAATCAGTTTAGAGAATATACAATCTCAATTGCAGTCTTCATTGCAGCTGGTAGCTTACACTTGTTAAAATTTTGGCTTGCAGTTGAGCTGTTAGTGTAGGAAACCGCTTTTGGGTCTGCACAGGGTCATTTCCACAGAAATTAGTTAAAATGTAAATCAAAGTGAAAGACACCAAAGGAGTAGTTGGTGAAGGACAAGCAGGGACCATTTGCTGTGATTTGACTTGGTGGCTGGCCAGTCCCTTTCTGTTCACAGTGCGTGTGTTTCCTGTTTTGTTTTTGGACTTGTTACTGTTGGACTAAATGCTACGACAACCTCTCCACAAAATTGTAACTGTGGCCTATGGTCCATGGCCTCAGCTTCTTGGAGTTCTGTGGG